ACGAACGCATAGCTTACAATTTGTGGTACATCATGTAGCATTTCACTTACTAAAATTTATGACTCGAAGAGAATTGGTGAGCACACATGCTCATTCCCTGGGCACTGCAAATTCACAACTCATTTCATTTCACATAATCATTTTCAACGTTTCGGCAAATTGCCATCATCAGGATACAATATTATTGTTGTATCCTGATGATGGCAATTTGCCGAAACGTTGAAAATGATTATGTGAAATGAAATGAGTTGTGAATTTGCAGTGCCCAGGGAATGAGCATGTGTGCTCACCAATTCTCTTCGAGTTATGAAGCTGCAGGATGCCTCACCGCTACTTCGTTCGTTAAAATTTATGATCTATTTGTTTTCACCTCGTGGCAAGGTCATATTCATCCAATTCTCTGTGCTGCGCTGATGAGTCCACAAAGGACGAAACAGTTCTGTCCGCAGATGGAGTATTCATCCTGAATAAAATAATAATAATTATTATTATAGACGCGAGGGGGAGGGGGCAGGTGATAAACCAACTACATGTACATGTATGTAGATCTACAGCCTGTATGTCATCGCTGCATGTACATGTACATGTATGTACAGCCTGTATGTCATCGCTGCATGTACTTGTACATGTAGTCCTACAGACAGAGTCAGTACTGTGTGTGTGTGTGTGTTGGTGCTACCAATCGCGGCTCGGCTCTGAACTAGTCTTCATGGATCACAGTTGAACTTGTAGTCAAAACTGAATTTGTGAAAGGAAGGAACATCGTAAATTCGTAATGCACAACCATCTTCAGCCGATTGGAAGATTCATCATCATCAACCATCCCCCCCCCCCCCCCACACACACACCTGTTGTCACACATGTTGCAATGCTCCATGCGACGCTCTAAGGCATGATGCATGGTTGCCTTAGTGTAATTGCCATAGGGGCGTTTAGGCTTAGCAGGCCATTGGGTGGCTGCCAACGTGGCAACCCTGCTAACTGCACGCCGAGGCGTCACAAAACACAAAACAGACAAGCTAGAAGTAAAAGAGGTTTTAAAACAAACCGAGTGCTCCAAAGAAAACTGTTTCCCAAAGAAAGCTGTTTCCGACTCGCTCAGAAGGCGACCATCTGCGCGGCGACTTCCCAAAGCAAGACCGTGACTTCTCACTGGAAACTTGATTTTCACTTTGTTACGGGCGGTTGCCACCCGGCTTGGCGACCCGCAAAAACACGATGTCAGCGTGGAGTGCTGCAGCAGGTTGTTGCTTTTGTTGTTGTATTTTATCAAAGTTTAATTAAGCACAAACAGGCGGTGACTTGGGAGGGACTCCAATAGTAGAGACCACGCAACTTCAGAAAACTGCCAAATTCTCTTCTGCCATAGTACATACCGGTACATGTAGAACATTGTGTATGTCCAATTGTCCATAATGACATTACATAAGTAAAACAAGAAAACTACTTGCATGTGCATGCATGTACATGTACATGTACTTCGAAGTACATTGTATATACAATGATTATGTATACAATGTACATGTCATGACCACTTTGTACAATGCATAATTAAAACGATACAGTGGTCCCTCTCTAATCCGGCACCATTTGTGCCACGGAAAATCTGCTGGATTAGGGAGGGTGCTGGATTAACACATCTGATTTACTGCTGCAATGTGCATGAAGAGGACATTTTGGCTACTGAAATTTGTGCTGATTTATCGAGGGTGCTGGATTATAACGGGCTGGATTAGAGAGGGACGACTGTATCAGATTCTCGATCCTTGACACAGTAACACTGTGGTCAGATACAATCTGGACTGGCTGGAGTTTCACTTTCACGTACATGCACGTATCGCTGAGCAGGCGGAACCTAACACACGGCATGATAATAATCCAAATATCCAGCTCAATCTCAACAACCATACCATGGATGTTACGTGTTGCGTTTCTATT